AATCTCAGCAGTGGCCAGGAGCGCCTTTGCACAGCACGCCCACTGTGCCCTTTCCTGAAAATGTCTGATCTGGCCACAATGGAGACATGTCTTAGTTACATCTTGTCTAGATTACTACAAACATTCTATATTGGGCTGCCTCTGAAGAGTGTTCGGAAACTTCAGCTGATTCAGGATGCTGCAGTCAGACTGATGACTGACATTAATTACGGAGAGCTTGCAACTCTCTTATTACAACAGCTTCGCTAGCTGCCTGTCTTTTTCTAGGCTCAATTCAAAGTGCAAGCTCTACACGGCTTGAACCCAAGCTATTTGAAGGGCCGTGTCACCCTGAGCGGACCAGGCTTTTAAGATCTTCTGGGGAGGCCCTTCTTTTGTTTTCACCATCGCCCCAAGCTTGCTCGGTGAGGACCCGAGAAGCCAGATTGCCCCCCCCTCCGCCCGGCTCTTGTCCTTCCGTAATCAGGCTGACCTTCCTTTTCAGGCAGGATTTTAAGCGATAAGTGTCTAGGGAATGCTCTTTTTCTACTTGAAAAAAAATTAATTTTAATAAAAATTAAAATTTAAAATTATAATTTAAAAATAATAAAAAATTATTTTAAATCCTGAATAATGTTTAATTTTTTAAATATATAGTTTCATGTGGCATTTTAAACTATTATTATTGTACGATTTTAATTGTTGTGAGTTGCTTTGGATCCCCTGTGGGGAGAAAGGTGGCATAGGTAGGTAGGTAGGTAGGTAGGTAGGTAGGTAGGTAGGTAGGTAGGTAGGTAGGTAGGTAGGTAGGTAGGTAGGTAGGTAGGTAGGTAGGTAGGTAGGTGTCAAAGAAGCATATAACAGAAGACCAGTTCACTGGGTCTCACACGTACCTAAATCACAATGGCTAGGATGCTTCTGCCTGTTCAGAGGCTGTGTACAAAACAAGATGGGATAAGTTGGGAAGAGTGTGGAAAAATACCCAAGGGCTAGAGGTGAGCCCAACACATGTCGTTAAAAAAAGAAAAGTCTTCAGAGTGTCTGCTTACTCTTTGAGAAATTCGCTCCTGAGGAAAAGATCTTGGCTCTGTTTCCCTCTGTAAGAAAAGTATGTCATCATTCATTGCCCCCGAAGGGAAGTGTTTTGATTTCCTTTAATTGAAACATGTTGAGCGGCTTCAGGAATAAATCATCCCTGGCACCCGCTTGAGCTTCACCTCTCTCCTTACGGGTCCTCACAACAAGAATATAGCCATACTTCTCATAAGTACCACTCGTCATCTGCCTACAAATAGTGGGTTAAGGAAAAGCACAAGTGACAGAACGCTGGTCTAGGCGGAGGACTGCTCTGAGTCAGCAGAACAACACTTGCAGCCTAATTTAAGGGTTGAGAAAGCGTCCTTTGGAACAGGGGTGGGGAAGCAAGCGTTAATGCAAATGTGTTCCTTGCTTTATACGGTAGGACTCCCATATAGGTGGGGATCCGTTCCAAACCTTCTGGTGGAGGCTGACAAACATTTTAATAGGAAATGCTACACATAGCATGGTCTCTGGTTCCCTCTAGTGGCCAGCTCTGTAACTTCACCAGTAAAAAATATATATGGGGGCGTTCTTATAGTATTTTTAATATTTTCAGACTGTATACAGTATAAGTGAATCAGAGGACACTGATCTCATGGATAAGGGGTCCTACTGTATATTCCTGGGCTGGCTCCTGGTTTTGAAAGGTTCATTCTATAGGCTGCAGTCTGTATGTGTCTTTCCAAGTGAGCGCATGTAGTAATTTGTAAACATTAAAATATAACAAGAATTTTCAACTTCTGTTTTTTTTAGAAGATGTCCCAAATACAACCAAATAGCACAAGACAACATGCTAGTCCTTTCTTCATATCAGTTTTTCAAGGATGGATGACAGCTTGTCTGGGAACACGCAAAGCCTTTTAGACCATGCTGGGAGGAATACTTTATTTTATTGCAAAGATATACATTTATCTGTGCTTGAGGCAGTTTACCATAATTGAGGTTGTAAGAATCACTATCACCACCATAAAGCCCCACCCTACAACTGATTTACTGAAGGAGGAGGAGGAGGAGGAGGAGGAGGAGGAGGAGGAGAAGAAAATCAGCTCTGGAACTCAAATGGAAAGTTGTTTTGTTTTTGTAGTGTTGGTGCTTGCTTTAGCATGCGTTATAACCACACCTCCAGCAACAATCCAAAAAGAAGATACTATAGTTGGGTGGATACATTCCAAACAAACAAGTTCTAGAAGTTCTTCATCTCCACCAGGAGGAGACTTTTGTAAAGTTAATGGGTCTTACTTGCACATTCAAGACAAAGCCACCGTGAAAATATTTTGTGTTACAACGACTGTTGTCCATAGCAATATTTTATTTCTGGTAAAATCTATCTTCTCTCCAGCTATTGTGAGGATCGAAGAGAGGGTTAGATGACTTTTCTACCTCTGCTCCAGCCCTGTGAGTCCTGGCACCACTATGCCACTGGTTGGCTTTGAAAGCCAACATTTTATCCGAACACTTTACAAAGCCTGAACATTCTAAGTTATAGAACTGCTGGATAGCTCAGTGGTATAGGTATCTAACTGTGGGGCCAGAGGTTGGGAGTTCAATTCCCTACTGTGTCTCCCTGATGGGGGCTGGACCCTATGATCCATGGATCTCTCCCAGCTCTGCAGTTCTAAGATTATTATTATTAACATGAAAATGTTTTCTGATGTCCATCAGAGATATCCACCAACAAATTCCCTTGAGGTTTTGAAGAGGAAGAGTGATCTTCTCTGATCACTGAGTTCATAGCAACATCTGCATCATGCTAAATTATTTTATAAATTACCATTATTTATAGTGCAATCTTATACATATCAATGCTGGAGTAAGTGTAGTTTGGATTTTCAAAGCTCAAGCACCCGGATCAGCTGTCTTCTTCTCTTCGCCTGCTTGGCAGGAGCAATGCACAGCACTCCGATGTGGGGTACTTGCCAAAGTTCAGCATGATTCAGCTGTGATTCCCGTCCTTAGCTATTTCTATACAGGGGTAATAATTATACTTAATTTAGGAGTTTTACATATATAAGACCCTTGGCATTGTACATAGCAAAGTTAAGTCAACACACCCTACCTGCCAAATTGCAATCTAGAAAAAAATGAATAAAAAGGATTAGAAAAGGAAACAGAGAATCCCCAAGGGGAAGCAAGCTGTACAAAATAAGGAGGTTTACCTTGGGAAAGCGATGCAAAATAAATACATCCTGCAGAGAGAGTCTCTGCAGTCTTTGGCAAGTATTCAGCCTACTTGCAGGAGGGCTACATGTGAGGAGGGATGCAGGAAAGTCCTGTCTCCAGCATTGTTGCTCCGAAGCATGCTGAACTTTCTATTCTCAGTACAGCACCTAGAATTTCCCCGCCTTCAGCTAGTGGTGGGGCCTTCTGGGAAATATAGCCAAAATGGGGGATTTTCTGAACTCTGCCCTGGCCCGACATTCCTGTGTTGGGTGGAGTGGCCTTTAGGAGGCTTTTACTCTACTCTGTAGGAGGGCCCATAAAAGCAGCATAATCAGGTATCTCCAACTATTGAAGAGGCCTGTGCTTGTGCTGAAGCAAATGCAAATGGAAACTCAGGTGGCGTTGGTGGTCCGTACTGCCTTTTTTCATCTTCAGCAGATAGCCTAGCTGTAACCCTATCTCGATGTTGGGGCACTCACCACCTTGGTACATGCGCTCGTAATCTCAAGATTAGACCACTGTAATGCGCTCTACATGGGGCTACCTTTGAGGTTGATGCGGAAATTCCAAGTGGTGCAGAACGCGGCGGCCAGACTCCTCAGTGGAGTGAGAAAATATCATCATATTTTTCCTATTCTAGCCGCATTGCACTGGCTGCCCATTTGGTTCTGCATTGACTTCAAAGTTTTGATGCTTACATATAAAGCCCTAAACAGTTTAGGGCCTCGATATTTGGCGGAATGCCTACTCCCACCAAGATCTACCCATATCACCCGATCAAGTCAGGAGGTGAGGCTGAGGAGCCTGACGCCGAGGGAGGCCCTGAAGGAAAAAACAAGAAACCAGGCCTTCTTGGCGGTGGCTCCTCGCCTCTGGAACAATCTTCCTCCGGAGATTCGTGCAGCCCCTTCGCTGGGTATCTTTGAAAACCTATTAAAAACCTGGATGTTTATGCAGGCCTTCCCTCCAGTTAATATTTTACTTTCACTTCCTTATTTACCTTTCCTTTCCATCTTGAAGAACTTGCTTATTGATGTAAAAAATTTCTTGTTATACTTAGATGTTGTTTTTATGTGTTTGGAAGCCGCCTAGAGTGGTCGTAAGACCAGATAGGCAGGATATAAAATAAATAAATAAATGCACGCAAAAGCCTTCTTCAGACTTTCCACCTCAACAAGAAAGGTCTTAGATATGAGGAGATAGGGATCTGTCCAGGGTGGGCGTGCTCTGTGTTGATCCCATCTTTTTGCCTGAATCTTGGCAGCCCAATGCCTGCATTAGGGCTTCTTTCAAATGTAGACCGTTGCATTAAGTAGTCCATATATGAGAAAGCAGTCAAGAAGAGTAGGGAACCGGTAGTTGAGTCTGCAAGCTAAAACAACTAGTAAATCCCATTAAAAGGAGTTAGGAAAAAAAAATCATGTTGACCTGTAAAGTCTAGTTTGGGAGCCTCAAAGGATAAAAGGAGAAGGAAGTCCAAGGAAATAATCCAACAGTGTTCCTTGCCATTCAAATTTAAGGTTGCAAAGTGTGGGAATTCCGTTCAAGTGGTCACGCAAGTTAGAGGATGGGTCACAAGGGAATCACAAAAATTTTGTACATCGTCCTCAGGGAATGCCATGTTGGAATCGGAAACGACTAAAAAGAGGTGGAGAAGCAATCATATTCTCTTGAATTTTGAACAGATGGTGGAAATCTGAACATATGAACATTGTCAAAGGAGATGAATGATGGGCACAGCATGAACACTGGCAGGCCAGAGCAGCAGGTTTATTCTCTGCCTAGACAGCAGCATCAGAGACACTTCCATTCAGCGAAGTCTTTGGCTGTAGCCCATTGTGTTGGAGAGTCACATCTTCCATAGGCTGGGTCATCAGCTGAAACCGCTGGAAATAAAGGATGAATGAAAGTTACAGGGTGAAGGGAAGGAAGGAAACCCGGAAGCAAGTAAACAGAAGGAGATGCAAGAAATACTGGCAAGAATAAAGGAAAGGAAAGCTTGCCCTGTTGTTATGATTACACTATGCTGCCCTTTGAACTATTCTCATTTGACTAGTCAGTTATGAAAATGCTCCACATGGAGATTGCTATGGGAAATGTGGCTTTAAAATATGTTAGTATGTTGGAAACTGAACAGAACAGAAGGAAAACTCAACTGTCAGGATAAAAAACATTGATTTGGCACAGGCCCGTTAGGCTAAGCCCTTGCTCTAATAATTATGATATATAAGTTAAAATCTAATAAACCTATCCTATTGAGAAAGTAGGGAAACACATTTACTCAGCCTGTAAGGAGAAAGTACACTAGTTCTATCTTCTGTGACATTGTTTTGATTGGGTAAGAATCACAGGAACGTCTGGAGCAAGGTCTTGGTGGATAAAGCTGTGTTCCATGTGACTTGTAATGACCTCTAAACTAGCATCCTGCCTTTAGATACAACAGGGAATACTGGGCCTTCCCAGTAGCCATGCTTAGGCTGGGAAACTCACTATTTAAGAAGGTTCATGTGAGCCCCTATTGTCTAGCCTTCTGTCCTGTTCTTAAGGAATTTTTTTATTCTAATAAATGTACAATAGGGGTGCGCAAGGAAACAACTTTTCATTTGCTTTCATTTCTGCTTCTTTGGAGGGCTCCTCTTTCAGTTTTGGGTTCTTGCAGGTTCAGGTCCTTTCAGTAAACCTGGAAGTACAGAATCTTTCAAGTTCTTCCATTGTAATTTTCACATTCCCGTTTCTAGTGTTCACAGAATGCTCAAAACTAGTCCTCCCAAAAAGGAGGGACAAGGTGACAGACAACAGTGGGGAGCAGCAGCGGTACACGAAGAAGAAAAATAAATCATCCAAAGACCCATGCTGGCTCTAACAGTACTTTAAAGTTCACATTTATCATCACACTACCATTCTTATCATCCTCATTAATTCATCAGCAGGAAACAGTAGAAAGGAGAAAGAGAAATCATCAGTCATCATGATTATCAAAATAAAACTCACATACATGCACAAAGAGCAATATAATCAAACCCATCACTCCAGACCACAAAAATATGGGATTTGTGTGTGCTGAGGAGACAGCTTTCCCCACCACTGCTCCAGTCATGTAGGCTATAGTCCACCAGGTGAAGGGCAAGTTAGCAGGCAGACACTCTAAGCAGACACTCTAAAAGAAATGGGGGGAGTCAAGCCCTCAAAAATCAATAAAATTAAAAGCCAAAAAGGCAGGGAATCAAAATAATCCAGAAAGTAATCCAAAAGTGGAGGAACAACAAAGAGATTTTTTTAAAAAATGCAATGTGCAATTGAAGAGCAGCAATAGCAGTATCACTAGCAGGCCAGTGAAGAATAAATCCAATCCAAAATGGAAGTCAGAGAAGCTCTCCCAGAAGCAGGAGCGAACAAGTCCCCAAGCAGCTGTAGAACAGCCACTCTCGTTTTCCAGGCTGTTCTAAAGATTAAAACTTTGCACCCGTCACTTCCAGCATGTTCTCTGAATCCGAATTGGCAGCCCTCCTCACGAGACTTTGCAATGTTTACTATTTACTATTTACTGGAACATCAAATGGAATGATTTTGCATACAAGGGTCAAATACAGGTAATCTGAACTATAAAATACATAACATAAGAAAAAGTTTCATTCTCCTTTCTTTTGGAATCCTGAATCTTTCATATTTCAGAGGCTTTCTATTATAAAGTCATTAAAGATTCCCCCAAACAGAGCCTCTTTTGTGGGTCCCCCCCCCAATTTGGGTTAACCCCAATCCCATTCCTAGTGTTTGATCTGCCACTGGGATTTTAGTGGCATCCTCACGAGACTTGCAATGTTTACTATTTACTGGAACATCGAATGGAGTGATTTTGCATACAAGGGTCAAATACAGTAATCTGAACTATAAAATACATAAGAAATCCACAAGTTTCATTCTCCTTTCTTTTGAAATCCTGAATCTTTCATATTTCAGAGGCTTTCTATTATAAAGCCCTTAAAGATTCCCTCCCATTTGGGTTAACCCCAAATCCCATTCCTAGTGTTTGATCTGCCACTGGGATTTTAGTGGCATGACCATTTTTTTAAAAAAATTATTTCAATCTGCAGTATATGACTTTTGTTTTACTATGTTGGATTCATAGGTTTTCTAAGCTTTATTGGTTCTCTCGCGATAGACTGCAGAAAGAACCCATCCAGTTGGTGTAAATATTCTTGGGAATTAAAGTTACAGTGGGGTCTTGACTTACGAACTTATAAGCTTTATTGGTTCTCTCGCGATAGACTGCAGAAAGAACTCATCCAGTTGGTGTAAATATTGTTGGGAATAAAAGTTATTCAAAATAACTCCAGATATTTTGCATTCAGAAGTGCTATTCCGCCTTCTGCCACTAGAGGGGGATATTTTTTCTTTTTCCTTTTAACCTAAGATGACGTAGCTTTAAAAAAAAGGAAAAAAAGAGTTCGTAACTCGAATCTAAGTTCGTAAGTCGAGTCCATATATTCCTATGAGAGCAGTTTGTAAGTCGAAACGTTCGTATGTCGAGCTGTTCGTAAGTCGAGATCCCACTGTATTCGAAATAACTCCAGATATTTTGCATTCAGAAGAAATGAGAAAACAAAAAACAAAAAACTTCATCCTCAAAGGCGGAAGGAGCTGAAATGTTTTTCCTTGGATGAGGTCTAGGAAGCATTTGGCCCAGCTTTCCTTGCCCTGATGGCTGATGGTTGAGTTTAGTTATTTTTTAACTTCTTTGCATTAATGGGACTGAAATGGCCTATAATCTTCCTCACCTGTCACAACTACTTTATTCTGTCGCAGCCTCTAATTTCCCTGCAAGCTTCTGCTCTGCTCTGTTGGAAACTAATGGAGATCCGCCTAGACAAGGGGGCAGAGTTTCGCATGCAAATTTCCCTGCTGTCGCTTGCTATTTATTGCCTCTTGGGTGAATCCACATGAGGGGGAGTGACGGAGCCAGTGATGGGGAGCTCTCTTGATATAAGTGCAACATCCCACCAAACAAACCTTGCTGAAGTTCCTTTTTAAAAACCTTTTTTTTTGATCGCAGTGGCTCCTTGACCTTGTGGAATGCATCATAAGGGGGAAGGAACATGGGTAGCCAAGTCCAACTCTAGATTTATCACCTTCTTGCAATAGTGGGCCCATAATCAGTGAACAAGGTGCTAAAAGTAACTGTGTTTCCAAAACCTTAAAGAGCAAAGTGGTGTTATTTTTTTCCATTTTGTTTTCATTGAAATAAGCTCATTTTTTAAGCCTCAATGGTCATGAAGCTAACTAGTTTTCCTCTAAGAATGTTTTTTGACTTGGGGTGAAAAAGCTTAAAAAGGAACCCTCTATCTCTTCTCTGGGAGAATGGTATCTAAGACTATCTATCTTAGGATCAAGCAGATTTATTTCATTATCCAGGCAGCATGCTGGAAAGGCCGCAAGCCTGATTAACCCTAGCCCTTTGCCGATCTTTCTTCTAGACATACTTATTTATTGTCCTCACATAAGATCTTATTCAAACCCATGTACAGAGACAGTGTGACCTCACCAAGCAGCCTCAGCAGGCCTGCAGGAAGAAAAATGATTTCCACTGATCTGGACCAAATTATGCAAAATGAATCAAAATGTCTGCACCCAAAACGGGAGCAGGCGGGTGGATGGGTGGGTGGTTTCCCTAACAAAGCAGCCACACAGAAGGGTTATCATTTCTCCATTTGCTCTAACACAAGCATGCAGTGAGTAAAGGAGGCACTGCATACCTGCAATTGTTCTGCTTGGCAGGACAGGTTACAAGGCAGTCAGGAAGGCTTTCTAGCTGAAGGCTGGAGCTTCTCAGACTTACCCAACCAGCATGGCTAATGGCCAGCCCAGCCGAGGGATTCTGGAAGTTGTCCCAAAAGGTTGATTTTCCAAAGTATTGTTAAGATTGTTTTGGACTCTAATGTTTAGAGCAGGGGCCTCCAAAGTACGGCCCGTGGGCCACATCTGGCCTGCCTTGCCCTTTTATCTTGCCCATCTGAGCATGCGTGAGTGCATGCGTGCAGGAGGGCATGTGTGCAGACGGGAGTGTGGGCAGGTAGGAATACGGTGGGCGGGAGTGCGCATTCGCATATGCACATTCCTTTGGCCCTTGAAAATGTGGAGAATATATTAAGTCACTGTGAAAAAGTGGTTTAGAGCATCGGTGGCTGATCATGACCAGAGGAAAAGGCTTATTCCCTCAGCTGGAGGGAATGCCAGGAAGGATTTTTCTCCAACTTTTAGTTAACTAGGATTAGTCTGGTTAATAATTCTGAGTTATCCCCCTGAAATAAACCTTCCTCTGTAGTCTGTATCATCGTCGTCATCACTGTGTACTGTCAAGTTGATTCCAACTTACAGCAACCCTTCCCCAGCTTTTCTAGATACCGCATTTACTCAGAAGTGTTTGCCATGACCTTCTATTGGAACTGTGTAGTTTGCCAAAGGCTACACCACACAGTTCCAAAAGCTTCTCCAAGGAGGCCCAATGTGATGGAGAATCAAATTCCCAACTTAGGGCTCCGCATCCAGGTGCCCACGCCCTAAACTAACCAGCCAGCAACCAAAACATATTGTAGAACACATACTGTAGACTATTGTGGTTCCGCCTCTGGGTCACTGTCATTACGGTATCACCTCATGCTCATAGTCAACATCTTGCAACTTCCTACTTCAGTCTTTCTGTGTTCACACTCCCCAATATCCACCTCCACTCATTGTCTCTTCTTCACCCTTCTGAAGCATTTTGTATCTTTGCATTTTTGAAGGGAGGCCACATGTTGATCGCATAGTCCCTGTGTTGCCTGTAGAAGATCACGGGTTCACTCCTTGGTATTTCTAGATAAAACACTCAGCTAGCAGGTGATAGGAAGAGTGAACATTTGAGATCCTGGCACATGGTTGGCTCTACCATTGGAGTGGCTGAAGTAATAACCTCAGGTGGCAAATTTATCTCTTCACCACTGAAGAATGGCCCCTGCTACTTTGGACAGGAGCTACAATGGCTGTCTTTCCAGAACTAGCTCTTTCTTCAACACCTAGTTCTGAGCAGGTCTTCTGAGCCAAAGCCCAATGGAGCTAAGGTGGAAAATGTTCAGGTCACCTCATCCATTCTACCTTGACCTGAGGGCTCTTCACAGCCACATGCTGAAGAAATATTTAGTCCTCTATAGAGAGCCCCCTCTGATGGGGCTGGGGAATGAGGCCTGCATGATCTTGTGGCAGGTCAGTGTGCTGCAACAGCTACAGTTGCTGTCACCACTGTTGCTACCACTTCCTTCTGCATTGCTGAAGGGGCAGTGGTCATATTTCCTCCTTCTATGGTGGAGGATGCTATCCCATGGCTATGGGTGATGGGGCCAAATGAGGCAGCCATTGGGGCCACCAAAGCCCCACAGCAATACTCTGGACTTTCTGTTGCTCCTTCACGTGCACATTCAAGTTGGAGTACAGTATTTCAGGAAATTTGTATTGTGCAATGGCCACACCGTTCTCTTTTATTTCAAGGAAACAGACCAGTCTTGGCACGATCACATTTTGCATTCCCCTCCTCTCTGCTTGTGGCAGGTAAATCATCCTTAAACAGAGCTTTATTAATTTACAGTCTCCGCAGGATCTGGATGATGGTGTCAAGATGAAGGGCATCCAAAAGCAAATTTCAGGAGAGTGTCTGGGAATGCTGGAAATGAGATGTTGCCAATAATTATTGCAGAGGCCCGGGTGAGAGGCAAGCATTCCATCTCCTCAATCCCTGGAGAGCAAAGAGGACCGAAGGCTGCTGAAGACAGCAAGAAGGACTGAAACCCAAACAAATCCTTTAGATTTCCTTTGGAGTGTCTGGTGAGGTTTCTGAAAAATTACGCAGACCTGGAATTTAAATGGCACAGAATTTCTCGAAGTCAGATTAGCACTGGTATTATTCTCCAAACTGTGTTTATGCACCCAACAGACATGATGGGGGGAAAGGAAATACGATGACTAGTTACTGTATTTTTTAACAATATTAATGCATATCTGAATGCTGCTTTATAGCAAGTAAAGCCCATAGTCATCTTTTCCACTGATTGCCCAAGGTGCCAGAAAGTACTTTAATAGCTCTCCCCATTATAGGATAATATTGGGAATTTAACGCATGACTATCTGCTTTCAAATATTCTGCACTACCTTCAAATTGTGTTTTGTCCTGTTAATCTACAGAGATATAATATTTTCTCATTTGTTGGCAGATCTGATGATTCTTGTTTGACCACCCAGCAACCAGGGATAGATAGATCTGAAAAAAAATCAATTTCCTCCAGATTTTTCCAAATCTAAATGCACGCACCTCCAGCACCCCTGTTGGTCTCCAACCATGTATACTTATTTTTTAAATTTTAAAAAATCGGGTGGGAGCCCAGCACCTCTGTCCTCCCGATACCTCACATACTGCATTTTAAAAAACATGTTGGTCACTCCTGGGTAGGAAACATTGTTTCTCAAGATTTTTGAAAGCCTTTTAAAAGAAATATATATATTTTAGGGGGGTGAGGGGTGGGGCATGTCATCAGATGCCCTTAAGGTCCAGGGGATGTGCATTGCCTGTCCGTAGACCTGAATAATCAAGAGCTGCCTGAATCATGTCTTGGGAATACTAGCAGATTTGAGATTCTAATGAGGGACTAGCTATATTCTTTGGTTTGGTTTTCCTTCTGCATCCCATCAAATACGCCATTTGCTGAGTATGACTGATTTAAAGCATTAGCCACTGATGTGAACCTTAATGTGACAGCACACTGTCAGTATGTCTGTTATAGATTATCATGCATTCCTCAAAGGTCAAGATATTCTTAGCCATTTCATCCCCAAAGGAGGAAAGACTTTCTATGGGATAATGGAAGAGCTTTGCCATAGGGAGGAGATTTGAGGCAGTGAGGAGGTATAATGGGTGATGACAAAATATATGGAGCATCTGGAGAGCTCTGTGGTTTAGGTCTCTGGCTTCACAGCCAGAGGTTGGGAGTTCAATTCCCCACTGTGTCTCCTGGACAGGGGCTGGACTGGATGATCCATAGGGCCCCTTCCAGCTCTGCAGTTCTTAAGGTTGTTATAATACCAAGCTGCATGACCAGGAGATGTGATCTGGATGTGGCAGATCGTTCAAGAGGTAATGTAAGACTGCGGCTAAGAAGCTAAGCTAAAAGCAAGATCCCTCTTCCAGCTCCAATCTCATCCCAGCCATTAACAGACGAAGTAGTCAGAATCCCAGCACACTCCCTGCAATATTAGTACAACAGAGTAGCTATGTTAGTTCATTTGAACAGCAAAGAAAGCTAATCTGAGACCAAACCAATGTGTTTAACCTGGGTGAGCTTTTGTGGGTTACAATCCATTTCTTCAGATACCTCGTCCGACCTTAAAGGCTTAAGGTACAAATTAGTGAGATAAGATCATTGTTGTTATTGATGAGGAAGAAGAAGAGGCCATCAATCTGTTTGGTATCTTCATTATTAAACTTTAGTCCCATACAATGACTGCTCTGTTTGCTGGGACGTCTGGTAGTTAATTTTCAGCCAGGCAGCTGTGTTAGTCTGTTTCACCATTTCAGCCTAATAACAGTAATTTTGAAACCACAAATTACTGTAGGCATTTGATTTTAGTTTCTGTAATGGAGGGCCTTGGATTCGCTCTCTACATATGTCTGGTTTGGTCTGCAGATGTGATAGTGTCCATAGGTAGAGAAGGTCTTCTACAACACCACTGACTCCATGAACTGCCTGTAAAAGCATCATCTGAATTCTTTAATTCCTGCTGTCATGTTTGTGTTTTTCACTCTATTTTCTATCCCCGTTTTTAACAATGATTTAAAAAATGCAAATATATTCTTGAAGGCTTTTGTGGCCAGCATCTGATGGTTGTTGTAAGTTTTTTAGGCTGTTTGGCCATGTTCAGGAGATTTTTCTTCCTAAAGTTTCACCAGTCTCTGTGGTCAGCATATAGGATAGGATCTAGAACTCTGTCTGTGTTCTGGTGTAGTGTGTGAAAAATACAGCCTGCAAAAAGATCAATGAACTCTACCTAGCCACAAGGATCAGTGATCACTGCACACAAAAGATAAGCTTAGAACACCCATCAATCACAGCGACAGATCATCACTCCCCCTTATCACAACAATACACCCATAACTAAAAACACCCTGATCACCATAATCATCCAACCTCCCGAAAAGGACAAAAAGCTCATCCCATAGCTATAAATACTCAACTATCTCACACACTACACCAGAACACATAGTTCTAATTCCTGTCTTCTGAAGATGTCAGCCACAGAGACTAGCAAAACATTAGGAAGAAAAAAACCCAGAACTACGGCCAAACAGCCCAAAAAACCTACAATCATAGAATGCAAATACATTATATTTTATTGAAACATCTTAACAAGCATCAATTTAAGAGAAGTTAGTATATAATAGTCCAAATCCTCTTGCTTAAGTTAAATTTGTGGAAGGAATGGTGATGATGTTAATGGCAAGGTGAGATTTTCAGTACATATCTCCCCTTTCTCTCACACTAGTTGTTTGACTTATGATTAATCCATTTCCCCATGTGGAAGCCATGGGACAGAAGGAGAAAGTCTTTCCCTACCCCTAATCTCCCCCTGCTGGTAACATCATCTGGCAACATGAATTTTCAGTAATGAAAATTCTCCTTCTTTTCATTGCTCCCACAGCTTTCACATAATGAAATGGATTACTCACAGATCAAACAAGCTGTGGAATGGAAGAGATAAGTCTTTAATTTTGGAAGGATTTTGACCAGTGAAATAGGCACTGTAGCACAGTGTTTAGAACACTGAACTACAACTCAGAAGACATGGGTTCAAATCCCCAGTTGGTCATGAAAGCTACCTTGGGCCAGTCATAGTCTGATTATCTCACAGAACTGATGTGAGAATAAGGTTCAGGGAAGGAGGGATATGTACACCATATTGAGCTTGCAGAAGAAGAGGTAGGATATTATCGCAAAAAACAATAAACTTTCTCAAACATAGAAGTACTATTTATACAAAGTCCAACATCATCACATGTAGGATCATCTAAAAGTGTGAGGGGGAACACATCACCAAAGAAAGGAAAAAGGAATACACATAAAATGTCTATATGCTTATTTTATGTACCAATGCAGGTTGAGAAATAATGGCCTCAATTTAAGTAGAAATGGCATCTATTTCACCACAGTGAGTGTGACCAGGCAACTTGTGTGCCTACTCTGTCTAATGCCCAGGCACAACTTAAAGGCCCTTGCTGTCTTTTCTTATAAGCTGGATTTGGATTGAACTGCCCTTCAAATGGAGGTTCTGTCTCCTGCAAACTGGGAACATATGGCCGCCATGCACATGGCTTCTGCTCTTAACTTACAGATGGGAAGATCTTGTCATAGCCATGGTGCTGTGGTTGCTTTGAGACATTCAACTCAACATGAAGGAAAGTGGTTTCAAAATTGTGCTTACCTGTCTGAGTGTTCCCTTTGCGGTAAAGAAAAAGTATAGCATATATCCTGGGATCAAGACCATGGACGACAGGGCCATGAACCAGCCAATGCCTTGGCCCCAAGCAGGATAAACGTATTTCCCCAGACTCAGAGGAGTCATTTCGATCACACTAAAGAAGAAAACACCCTGGAGGATAGAAAAGCAAAGAAAACAGCAGCTCAGCTTCAGCAGGCAGGAAAGTGGATTTGCTGATTAAAAAAGGACCCCAATGCAGGCTTTCAGGAGAACGTTCACTGAGTGCACAGAGAGAGGGAGCAGAGTTGCCCCACTTGCTTCTCGTGGATTGAGAGTGGCACTCTAAGAGGAAAACCTTTGCTTGACACAGTCTAGAACCTTGAAGCTGCTGGATAGCTCAGTGGCTTGGGAGTTTGATTCCCCCTGTACCTCCTTGACTGGGGCTGGTTACTCTATGATCCATAGGGTCCCTTCCAGCTCTGCAGTACAGTGGTTATTATTATTATTATTCAAGATCACAGGAGGATCTCCTCTCTCCAATGCATGTGGTGGATCTCCTCTTGAGACTGTGACTTTCAGCATATGGAGAGCAATGAAGGAGTAGGAGGGCTCCTGTCATTCTCTCCTGCCATGTTCAAGGTAACCTGGGCCCACATGAGACTACTGACCTTCTTCCTAGAGTCTCCATACATGACTTCCCCATTGACCTCAGCCCAGCTACTAAACTAACAGCCATTCATTCCGGGGAGGCTGTATACCATCTATATACCACTCTCCTTACACAGGAGCCTTTATAGTTAATGAAATGGAGGACAGCTACATCAGTAGTCGAACAGAGGCAGTATATCTCAGGATATCAGATGTTGGGTAGACACAACAGGGAAGTTTGCTCTCTCTCTCATGCTTGGACTGGGCCTGTGGGAGGGGCAATGGGTTAAAGCACACATTTCCCCCCCAATGCTGCCGTTTCTATTCACTTTGCTCCACACCTTCATGTGGCTGTCCTTTATTTTTTAAAAACTCAAAGCAAATGTGATTCATGTGGCATTTAGTTTGGCCCTTCTAGACAAATTGCAGTCTTGGAAATCAACGGCTGAGGATGATGGGGCTTGGGCAGGACAATTGTTGGACTTGTTTGTCCTTAAATGAGTTAGGAAAGATAATCTTTTTTGTTGTATATTTCCCAGAATCCCCTAGAGAATATGGTGGTTGGGGGTGGATTTCTGGGAACTGTAATCTGGAAAAAAAAACACATTTCCACGTTCAAATCCTCAGGTTTTTTTTTTACGAAACATCTTACCAAACAGACGAGTGGAGTGAAGAAGGCCCAGCAGATCTTCCACCAGCTGCAAGGTTGATAACCAATCATCTCTTCAATGTTCCTATAAAATCGATTCACACCTGGAATGAGAAATATCTATGAAAGAAAATAGGCTCCGTTATCTGTCTTTTTTCCCACTGGCCCAGCAAGACCAGAGATATTTATCAGAGCCTTGTGGTATGAAACAACACGGACCTTTACTGCAGCTCGGAATGAGAAGATGCACCCGTACCATGGTTCCTTGTTCATATTTACTTGGTATACTAGGATGGTTCTTGCCTGCGTACTATCTGAGCCTAACAAAACTATTCTTGAGCACCAGGGCAGGGACCAGGAGCACATCCTGGCAACATTACCTGTTTGGATTGCAACCCTTTGACGTTTTTAGCCAGCACGTTACAGATTGCAAAGAAGGAAAAGGATGATACTTCTACTTACCAATATCTGAGCCTAGTGAAACTATTCTCGAGCACCAAATGTCCAGCAGCACATCCTTGCAACATTACTTGTTAGGATTGCAACCCTTGGACATTTGTAGCCAGCATGTTACAGATTGCAATGAAGGAAAAGGATGATACTTCTACTTACCATAACACCAGGAGATGGAGATCGTCTCGAAGAAGACCAGGAAGAGGAGGCACATACCACTGGCTGAGTAGTAATCAAAGAGTTTGAACACATAGATGCCACCCTGAAAGGACACAACATGAGGCCGTACTGCAGTTAGAAAGCAAGGAGGGCAGAGGAAGATGTAACAGACCTTTCCGAAGGGAGTTTCACGTGGAGCAGGAAAGAGATCTGAAATACTGCCTTGTGGGGAGGTTTGACTGTGTGTCTAGCCACAGGCAAGACTTGGAAAAGTTACTTTTTTGGACTACCTCTCAAAACCTCCCAGCCAAAAAGTGATTTTTCCAAGCTCTATCCACCCCATAGAATAAGAATCAGAAAAACCTCCCTTACACTGAGTCAGACCACGGGTCCATTTAGTGAAGGGAGAGGAGATGTGGGATCTCCAGGATTGCACCTTGTGGGAATCCTGTAGCCACAACCACCATAGCCAGTTGACGTCAAGAGATGCAGTCCAAACAACATCCAAAAGGCCATCCTCAATCTACTGACGTGGTGGCTCTCCAGGGTTTTCTTCTATCTGGAAATGTTCAGGATTGAACCTGGACTGTGTTCATGCAAAGCATATGTTCTACCACGATGAGGGAGGCCCTCCAAACTGCAGCAGTTCTTATACACTCAATACATTTCATGTTTCTGTCCTCACCCACCCTCTCCCACCCAAGTGTGTAAATAGATCAGGAAACCTGACATGCCTCTGATAAAGTGGGACTCGGTCCATAAAAGCTTGTTATCAAGTAAAACATGCTAGCCTTAAAGCCATCATACTACCCTACATACAAGCAGTTTGGTTTAATTTTGGAAGCTAAGCAGGATCTCTTAATTTGTTGTTGTGCACCATCAAGCGGGAATCAGCTTATCGAGACCCTAATAGGGCTTTCCAGGTAAGTGAAATATTGAAGGTGTAGCTTTAGCAGTTCTACACCCCCAGTGAACTTCCATGGCTGAGCGGGGATTCGAACTCGGTTCTTCCAAATCCTAGTCAGTCACCCTGTCCACTACATCACACTGGGCATTCTGTTCTGTTTGGTATTTGCATGAAATCGTACCAGAGAGGAAGAGGCACCTCCACACTTGGCCTGCCTGGCCAGCATTTATGCTCATTATATTGGTGTGATCCTGCAAGACTGCTCATATGCATTTATATTCCTTTAACTATCAGTAATGGAAAATGGAGGGACTGAATCATCACTGTTTAGCCCACCTAATATCATGACTCTGGCTTGCCTAAAGATAAGCTCCCTCTTGCTCACTGTCTGGAAGCGAGATGACCAGGGAATACCAAGGAATACCAGGCAGGGGTAAAAACAGTGAACTGGAACTTTGGAGAGCTGCTGCCGGTCAGAGCAGACAGTACTGAGTGAGTTAGACTAATTATTTAACTCAATATAAAGCAGCCTCCTCTTTTCCTTCCTCTGATGCCACAAGGCTTGCGCACTGCGAATGAGGACAGATTAGCTGTTTACTTGGACTGAAATACTGTGCAGAACTGGGCTGTTCAAATCCCATGAACTTCAGGAGGGTTTAAGGAGTCCATCTGCACAATGAAACCCAGTACAGTACTTTAACATGAACAGTCATAGGACTAAGTCCTCACTATCGAAAAGATATGGAGGATATTGGATCTGCACTTCAGTGACCAAGAGGATCAGAAGAAAAATAAATAGAAAAATGAAACAGTAGGAGCAGCAGAAGAAGTAGTACTGTGACCATCATGCGGGAAAAGATTGTGCAGTTCTTAGTTTGTCAATTTGTGTTTACCTGGGTGATGTTGGAGAATCCGATCAGGTAGGAGATTAAGCACACCACTGCAATGAAGATCTTCTTCCTTGACCTCAGCAGGTGTGGGTACTCATCCATCAGGGCTGTGATGAAGCCTTCCACAGTGCAAAACTCCAGGAAGAAATCATCAGAAAGAGATCAACAACTTCCACATTGGACTGACAGCTAAGAAAGCCTACACCCTCCCCCCCTGCAATGGTGCTCGCTAGCTTTCCACGTCCAGGTTTCCTTGACTTTGTTCAGATACGAGGACCAGCCTTCCTAGAATCTTGGGTGCATCATATTCTCTTTCTTTCCTTTCGGTCTTCACATTACACAAACCAATCCTGATGGCAGAAGTAGGCCACTCGTCGCCTTCCAGATTCTTTTGGACTACAACTGCCATCAGCCCTAACTATTATAGTCAATGGTGAAAGATGATGGAAGTGGAGTTCAACTGGACGCATTCTCTCCATTGTTTACTCCCAAACCCCAGACAGCCAACGACGATTCCTACTTCCTCTGGTTTCCAGCCCTAATTCACAAGACAAATGGAGTTACTGGTTCAGAGGAAATGGCCGTTGTTACGGTCAGCCATAGCATAACCTGTCCGTCACAGCTGGGAGGGAAAATCTCAGCCAATGAGAGGGCGGAGGGTGGTGCAGAGGCGGGAGGAGCTGTGATATATAAGGTGTGTGTGAGGGGGTCAGATAGGAGATAGCAGATAGCAGATAGCAGAGAGATGAGTGTCTGAGCTGCGAGTTAAAGTAATCTTAGTGTCAGTGTGAAAGAGTCTGTGAGAGCTAGTGCCTGAGAAACAGTAATTGATTATTTCTTTAACAATGATTTACCATTCCTTTCTTTTTGTATTCAATAAACCAAGTTTTTGTTTTTAAAAGTTATACTGGCCTGCTGTATGGTTTATTCATTAAGGAATGGTTGGTGGCAGTAAAGAAGAGTGAAGGGTTTTAAAGTGACGTGATGACCTCCCTTTGTGAGTCATGAGGAAGGCCGTTACAGCCGTCTATTCTTTGCCTCAGATTAGGAAAGGAGGGAGAGAATTGCACAATGGGAGCAGAGATTGGATTTTTAGAGCCTGATGTATTCCATTTCAAATTATTTGTGCCATGATACTTGTTCTCTCTTCATTGCCTGAATGGCAAGCTGTTTGTCAGGAGAACCACCTCACACATTCCTTTCAGTGGCAATGCTTCCTGAGGTACACAATAGTACACAGAACAATTGATGCCGGGGGGGGGGGCAGGGGGGGACAGAACAACAGACAGCTCTCAGATGTTGCTCTTCAAAGCTCTCTTGAACAGCAGAACCCTGTGGAGCACTTCAGTGTGCGAGCTGATTAAGAAGTTACACTAAAGTAATTAATTTTAGAAGTGTCTGAAAGAGTATAGAGAGCTGTCACTTTTAAAAGTCTCTGGCAGCCACCTTGAAGGGCGGGAAGTAGCTCTCAAGTAAATCATGTAAAATTAAATCCTTTTAAAAAAAGTATTTAGTAGCAGAAAAAAAAAGAATCATGACTGAAAGGAATTGTTCAGTTAGCATTTGCCACCCTATTTAAAAGGTTTCTGAATTATGACGCAGGTCAATTCAGCCACAACTGTATTTCCTATGAGCATTAATTTATAAATAGCTGCCACAATGGGAAACAAGCAGATTGTGCATTAAAGTTAAGGGCTCCTCTTTAAAAAATATGTCCTAAGAGGATGGGATGCAAACTCAATCTGAAACCAAATCAATGTGTCATTGATTCACTGATAGCTGTTCTACAAACACAGCAAAAGTGTTTTTTCCAGGAATCAAACTCAATTTCCTGAAAAGAAACCTCTGTGTGTCAATGAAATTATGCCAGGGAAGAAGGTTCAAAGTCAACCTGACCTACAAAATTACTTTGTGCAAGAAGATTTAAGGTCGTCGTTTAGTCATGTCCGACTCTTCGATGGCTTCCTTCTTTTACTTATGAGTCAGTATCTCATATTTGGTCTTCCTCTTTTCCTTCTGTTGTCAACTCAGCCTTATTGTCTTTTCCCTAAGTCACCTGCAATCTGAATTATACTGTCTGGTTCTGCTGCAACATATAGACTGGCTTTGAAATATGGTCAGTTAAAAAATAATAATTTGGTGGCTGGTATATATGGCCATTTACTAGCAATTTCTACAGAGCTAGTCTTTTGAAATAATGTGAAGCAGTTGCTTCAACTGATAGGGGCACTATTTTTATAGCTCCAGCATCCACCTCTAGCGATCAGTTCCACTAAGTCATAAAACAAAATACATGTATACTTCTGTCCAGAGCAAGGTTGCAGAATGCCATTTTAAAGGCTACTTTGGCTTTATACTACTTATTTACATTATCAGTGGGACAAAAGAGCTCCCAATTTCAGACAACAATTAGGTTGTCCAAAATTTAAGGATCAGCAGGAGAAGGGAATGGTAAATTGCAGAGATGTATTCTCATCCTAGAAAACCCTGGAAAAGGTCACCCTAAGTTGGAATCAACTTGATAGCTTACAATTCATGCTAGTTGGACAGCTCCGTGCTTTAGATATCTGGCTGCAGAGCCGAAAGTTGGGAATTCAATTCCCCACTGTGCCTTCTGTGAGTAGAGCCAGCCTGTGTGGCCTTGGGCAAACTACACAGTCCCAGGGCACCCTCAAAGAAGAGAATGATAAGCTACTTCTGTCTAGCTACGATGGCTAGGAGATTCTGACCTCAGAAAAGAAACATTTCCTAGCTTTTTACTCGTTCCAACTGTTGCATTCCAACAACCAATCTGACAGGTACGAAACACAGAGAGGCAACCCAGGGAATCTTGCTGCCACTTGGGGAACTGAGATTAAGACACGAATCCAGAAAGACGTTTGGCTGAAAGATGATTGAGCCTGGAAAGTAGCTACAGGATGCTGATTCTTGGTGGTGGGAGAACCCAGGGGAATAGAGAATAGAGAAGCTGGAACCCAGGACAACAGCACTTTCAGAACTGCTATCCAACATGCATTGTTGAGAGCACCCTATGCCCAACCACATGCGTGGTTCCTGATCGTCCAGGTTATTATTATTTTTTAAATACGCCTTACCTGGCTGTCAAGACCAAGCATCATTAACATGGAAAAGAAGAGAATTGACCAGAGAGGGGACATAGGCAGCTGTGTGACGACTTGTGGATAGGCGAGGAACGCCAGTCCTGGACCTGCAGGGATCAAAATGCATCAAACAGTTATATTTGTCCAACTTCCTTCGGACACAAAGTCCAGCACAGTGGGTGCCCTCGTTAAATCTTGACACTGAGCCAGTTTAGCAGAGCCAGCCCAAAAGATAGAGAAAAGGACAAAAACAGCACTTCCCCAGTCGGTGGACAAAACGTGAGCAGGAGGGCAGCAGAAACGGATTTCAGCACTGGCAAGAGACAGTGTCTTCTACTGCTGATAGGCAGCTGGTTAATTTAAGGGTCATAGGTAGGACACACGGCTCTATCTAGTGATGGCTTGTGACTGGGTGGGGTGGTTCCATCAAACTGTGCGGAGAGTTGTCACCTCCTGTCCCACTCCATGAGCCACCCATGGCTCTGTCCATTTCAGCACTGGCCTCACACAAGCTTGCGAAACGGATTTCACTTCAAGCGGATTGTGCAAGCAGCAATTGCGTATGGTAGAATCCTAAGGTAATGCAAGGATATGAACTGAATCCTAAATCAGTGCAAGGAAATTCGTAGACTCTGGAAATAATAGTTTAAAGAGAGGGGTTTAATATTGGTTAGAACAACCAGTTCTATTTCATTTTGGATCTGCCATAGATCCCTATCAGTTATAATAGATGTGTAGATGATATTGTGGTCTCTAAGTGCACTGTGGAGTCCCACTAACAGCTCATGTGAACAATTGTGGGTAAAAATCTCATGACAGTCTTATTTGACTGAGAGAGAGGATCGAACAAGGCAATATGCTTGGCATCTAGGTTATGCCTGTGGAATGGTGATGACATCATCATCAGGGGGAGAATTTTTCACTAATTAAATACTACTCCCTTCTCTCCCATGTCTTTTCTGACTGGCGAATAATCTGTTTCATTGCATGTAAACCACCGGGTGGAAGGAGGATGTCTTTAATTACTGAAAATCTTTCCTATTGTCATCCAAGAGCAACTATTTTCAGTAAGTAAAAACTTCCTTCTTCTGCCCCACATCTTCCACATGATAAAACAGAGTATTCACAATTTGAACAAGCTGCAAGAGAGAAGAGAGAAGGCTTTAATTACAGAAAATCCTCCCCCCACATTGCTGAGGTCATCACCCTTCCATTGATGTAACTTCACAAGAGGATTTCAGCCAAGAAGAAGACACATTCTGCAATTGGTATTGTCAGTGGGGTTTCCTGACATACCTGTGCTTCAGCAATCAGACTTCCAAATTAAGCCCATGTTTACTTTTTTTATGACCTATCACAAAACAAGATAGGCTGGAATGCAAGATACAGAGCACTTGTTTGAATAAACAAGGGGGCACCAATTCAAAACATCTCTGTATTCAAACACAACTGCACTGAGGAGACTATACCTGAGGATGCCAGCTCAGCTATTGGCTTCTTGGTGATGTGAGCCATGAAGCCAACGATGGAGAAAATAACAAAACCTGCAAATACGCTTGTGCTGGAATTTATGCCGCAAACAATGATGGAGTCTCTGGAAAAGAAGAATGTGTTTTAATTAATTGATTGATTGGTTTAAGAACCTCTACATTTAATCATTTGGCCTACAAGGTAGCTTCCATAATAAAACAGAAAATTACCATGGCTTGGATCTAGATAACGTTGTGCTCTGGCAACGTGAAGAATACCTGCTACATTATTCATTCCCATTGATTTAGATTGTCCTGACTTGACGAGGCATCTTGATTTTCAATTCCCACAAGATTCTCCTCCAGTCAAGTATCAGAGTAGCCATTTAAAAATTCGTCAAGGACTTTATAGTTTACACAAATTGCCTCTGCATATAAGTAATATTTTTCTCATTGAGGAAACAAAGTGCATTCACAGAAAGCAGTGCAAGGGTTTTTAAAAGATGTAAACAATCATTCTCATATTTCTTATCCTTAAATCCATGCAACAAAGGAGAATCCATCACCATTTTGCATAATTCGTGTTATTTGTTTTGAAGTGTTATTCACATCCTTGCACTATTTGTGCTATTACACTTAATCTGTGATAATGGTTTTCACCTTTTCCTATTGGGAGCATCACAAAATTCTTTGCCTTGTCTACACACATGAGGACAAGACAAGTGAAGATTTACATTCCTCTCATGGGCGAAGAAAGAAGCACTTCCATTTAAGTGAGAGAGATCTGCTGAATCCATCCACTTCCCCTCTCGTAATGCAACCCTATGTTCTCCAGCCCATACCATTCCTATGGGGCAAGCCATCCAAAAGAGAAACTTTCTGGTGGGTGCAAGGAAGCTGTAGTGGGTGAGTGGCAACCCAAGAAAGCCCTATTCCAAAGCAAAGCAAAGCAAATTGTGCTGCTTATATACTGCCCCATAGCACTTAAAGCTTTCCCTGGGTGGTTTACAATTTAGTTGTGCAGGTTACATTTACTCCCCCACCCCCCCAGAGAGCTGGGTACTCAAATAACTGACTTTGGATTACATTTGCTCCCCCACCCCCAGCGAGCTGGGTACTCAAATAACTGACTTTGGACGACTGAGTCAACCTTGAGACAGCTACCTGAGCCCATGATTGAACTCATGTTGTGAGCAGAGTCTTCACTGCAGTTCTGCAGTTTAACCACGAGGCTTCTTAAAAGCAGAGTTCTTTCTATCTTCTTTGGACTCAACTCATTAAGTATAATGAGACAGAATCAAATTCAGTATATCAATGAAATAATTAGAACAGCAGCATGAGTGGAACATAAAACAACTGGGTCACTTGGAAAATACATCAGTACGGTAGAAGGTTAAAAAAGATTAAAGGCACAGTGCAACAGAAACATCTTTGTTTGGACAGCCTCATAAAAGACAAGAGAGGGCAGAAATCAATCAAAGCTCTCCAAGGAGGGGATGTTAGGATCTGAGTGCCTCTCTCAAGTATAGCTGTTCCTGGGTGCTTCCAAGGTTTCTTTTGAAGATGTCAGAACATGGAAATTGAATGCCTTAGATAGAAATGCCGAAATATAGGGAAGGAAGATGCCCCCTGTATTTCGCTCAGTTGTCACATCAGAACACAGAGGGAGACAAGGTGTGCATTCAGCAAATAATGATGAAGATAAGGTTAGGCTAGTGTTCATATACAGGAACATACGTACAGTGGTGCCTCGCTAAACGATGATAAACCGTTCCACTGAAATTGCTGTTTAGCAAAGACATTGTCTAGCGAAAAGCATTTCCCCGTTGGAATGCATTGAAACCTGTTTAATGTGTTCCAATGGGGAAGAATCGTCATTGTCTAGCAAAGATCGGCCGTAGGAAAGCCGCTTTGCGAACCGCCGATCAGCTGTTTAAACTGATCTTGCGAAGCTTAGGTCCCGAAAACACCTGTTTTGTGAGCGCGGAGGGAGCTGTCAAAATCGTTGTCTAGCGAAAATTGGTTTGCGAAGCAGGGACCAAACACTGTCCAGCGAAATTCCCTCATAGGAATCACTGTTTTGCGAATCACTATAGCGATCACAAAAAGTCAGTGTCTACCAAAAAGAACTGTCATGCAGGGTAACTGTTTAGCAAGGCACCACTGTATTCATGCAAAACATTTGTAAATATTTTTTCTCCAGGTACTTTTGAAAATAAGAACCTAAGAAGAGTCCCGCTGGTTCCGACTAAAGGTTTACGTGGACTGAAAGAGCCAATCATTTGCCTTTGAGAGACCCACCAATATGGTTAGCCACTTTCTGAAAGCAAATTCTAGGTTGGATAAAGTAGCTGTGAGGAAGTGCAGCCCACCCAATTTTAGGAATAGGGATGGGCACAAACTGCCGATTGGGTGGTTCGTGCTGGTTCATCCTTCAGACAAACAGGTGGGGAAGTGCAGCCCAGCCAATGTTAGGACTAGAGATGGGCACAAACTGCCCATTTGCTGGTTCGTCCTTCAGACAAACAGGTGTTTGGAAGTTCCCAGCCCTGCCTTCTCCGGTGGGTGCCCACCCACAGGCAGTGCCTCGGCTTCCCTGTCCCGCCTCCTCTGGGTGCTGCCTTTGAGTGGACACCGACCAGAAGACGCAGGGCTGGGAACTGCCGAACACCTGCTCATCCAAAAGACAAACTGGTGGTTCATGCCCATCTCTAGTGCACAACTGCCTTGTATTGAGTCAGAACCTTGGTCCATCTTGCGCAGTATTGTCAGTTCTGAATGACAGAAGCTTTTGAGGGTATCAGGCAAGATCCTTTCTTATTCCCACCTGGAGATAATGCAAGTTGACCCTATATGCGTAAGGTTGATAAGAGCTGCAATCCAAAACATCTAGAGATATACACTTTGCCCACTCCACTCACAAACCTTAATCTGGCATGCTGATTTTAGTAGGTTTGGCTGGGAGGGAACCTCCTGGGCTGGGATGACTGTTAATCTATACAGCACCAACCAACTGTTTCTTCCCTCATTCTGAATTCAAAGAGAGCCCCACCTCTCTGCTCAGTGCTTTTTCTCTTTCTCGAGTTTGTTGATGCCTTTGCTAAAAGCAGTCATGTTTGTCAGTTTGTCATTCTGAATGAGAGCCCCACCTCTCTGCTCAGTGCTTTTTCTCTTTCTCGAGTTTGTTGATGCCTTTGCTAAAAGCAGTCATGTTTGTCAGTTTGTTGTTTGATCTGTTTAATGTAAGTAAAGAAATCTTTTATTCTTTCCCCTACTAATGTCTCAGAGTGAGTAATTGAGACTGCAAGTACCAGTTGGTTAGAAAAAGGGGTGGACTAAACATGGGAACTTGAAGCTATTCTGCTTTGTGAATCCATGTACTTTTGCTGAACAGATAGAGAAATTTAGCCAATATTTGAAACTCTGCAACAGTTAAGAGATGATATCCAATTAACAGCTCTGCGAAGGGTGTTTCCAAGTACAGGAGATATTAACAGAAAAGACCCTTTCTTTCTGGTGAACTGCTCTTGACACTGCCAATGGAAAAACTGGGGATTCACCCCCATAATTCTAGTCATCGATACTTGGCGGATCGCCTTCACCCACCAAGTTCTACCCGGACCACCCGCGCGACCCAGGAGGTGAGGCTGAGGAGCCTGACCTGACGAGAGGCCCGGAGGGAGAAGACACGAAACCGGGCCTTCT